TGAAGTTTTTATATATAAACTGTGTTAACAAATGATTTCAGAATAAGGGATAAATACCTGAAGCTTTGTTTCCTAAGAAGCCATGTGTAAATATCTCAATGATCCAATCCTGGAGCTCAGTGTCTTTAAGCACCTCACTGTCTGAGGGATAGAAGTACTCCATCACTGCCTTCACAAAGCTGGTGAGCACAGAACAATTTTATTTTAGAAAGTTACACTTTTATGTGAAAAAGACAGAGAGCCTCCAAGCTTTTGCTTGTAAAAATAAATCCCTGTGGACGGTTGCAATATTTGTTTAAAGGTAACCTGTTGATGATGTTCCACAGCTTCAGACCATCATCTCTGTAGTAGTAGTTGGGTATGGACTCCAGTCCTCGTGCAGTGATGTTCTCTGGCAGGCAGAGGGAGCTGTAGGTTGTTTCAGAGTGAGCCCTTCTCATGAGCTCCCGCAGTCCGTCATAGCCAAGTGAACTCTAATATATCAATGATACACAGATATTTACCATCAGACACGTTTCTTGAAGTAAAAAAGAAAGCCTTGTTAAAACATTACAGACTAAAACTTAGTTTTGCAATGGTGCAATATGATATAATACAATAATAATTTATTCAGAAATGTATATTATAAAGAACCATACCATACTCAAAACCCCATCAGGTCCAAAAAGAGCTTTGCGGCCTCTAGTATTTACGTAGAGGGTGTATCGGAAGTGTGGAACCAGCAGCTGTACAGACAGAGGGAAGAATATTGAAAGGCCTCTCCTGGCTTATTGCTTAATTACTTAATTATTGTTTGTGCATTAGTTAATGTAAGATATTCTTTTGAAATTGACATGTTATATGCAGAGTTGGGTAAAAAATATCTTAAAAAACAAAAACAAAAAAAACAGCAAACTAACGCGTTAGGTTACTCGTTACTGTAAAAAGTACTTTGGGCACCAGGGCCGCTGGGGCGCCTGCTCTACCACTAAGCCACCTACGCCCCGTTAGTTTGCTGTTTAAGTAATCAAATACTTGAGTACATTTTCAAACAAGCCATCAGTTACTTCCGTTACTTCCATGACTCAGGACTTGCATTATGCCTGGTACACACTACACAACTTTTCTGCCTGTAATGAAAGTCACTATGTCACATTACACAATTGTGGAGTCATTAAATCGTGCCTTGACTTGGCCGACAGACATGACACACTACACGATGGTACTCACCAATTATTCCTGGTCGTCTTTCACGATGTGTGTGATGTCATCGGGTTATTCTTGTCCTGTTTTTATTACTTTTACTATTATTTCAGTCACTGTGTCTGTTCATGTGCCAGCTGAAATGTTGTTGTAGTCACCTAAAAGCGTCAGCAGGTGGCAGGAGCTCTATTTGAAGTGCCGTACGTAAACATTCAAGTTACTGTATCCTCCACAACCAAGTTCCTACAAATGTTTCACAATAAAAGCCTATTTAGAAAATGGAGGGATTCTCTCAGCCGAAATTATAAGGGGCTTTTAATCTGAAAGAAATTCAGGAAGTGTTGAGTTTGAAATGACGGCGCGATATGTTAACCTTATAAAGACAAAGTAAATATATAAACACAGAGGGATTAATAAATAATGGACCGTCTATAATGTAGTCTGTTTCAAATGAAGCTGGTAGCCTCTGCAGTTGTGGTGAGTAAAAGCCCCACCACTATTTGATCATGTTATTACTTTAAGTCTGTCTCTATTATGAGGATGTAACATTGTTTGCTAGCTTGATGCTAATGACAGTACTCAGCGGGTTGACAAAGTGCCTCTGCTGTTTCACATTATCATTTCCCCCTTTTACTCTGTGTGGTAAAATCGCTAGAGGAAATATTAAAAATGCTGGGGTGTTGTTGTCATACAGTTGTCTAAGGCAGCAGAATGTTCTGTGTTTCTACTGATCAAAGTGACGGCTGTGATGGGAGAATTGGATCTCAGTGAAGGGCAAGTGGTCCATAACTTTAATTTTGGAGACAAAAAATGTAGGCTAAGCGCCCTGTGGTCCAACGCAGTAAAGTAACTGGTTACTTTTAACAAAAGTAATGCAGTAAAGTACTTTGATTACTTTTAAAGTAACCCTTACCCAACTCTGGTTATATGTTATGTGAATATACTGAGATAGCGACTATCAACTGTACAATAGAGACATAAAACGCCCCAAAAAGTACCTGAGAAATCAATCAATAAAAAGTTGGATCATCAGTTCAGGTCAAATGAATAGAATAAAGTGCACCAGCACTGTGACCTCAGCTTTGTTATTTTACCTTATAGAGGGGGTGAATCACAGAGAAGCTGCGGAGAGCGGCAACAGTATAGACCTCAGCCAGAAAGTGAGTGTTCATGAAGTGATGAACGGCTTGATGATCCATGAAATCTGCATTTTTGATGAACATCTTGGCCAGCAGCCAGTCAGTCTCTGGGTCACTGGGCAGAAAGATGGGGTTCTGCTCAGAGGGTTGTTGGTGCAGCTGAAATGTGATAAAAACATACTTAATTTTTATATTTTAAAATAGTGCACCAGGTCCTCTGAAACATACTAATGTACAATGGAATGTAATATTAGTATGTGACTAAATCACTGATTTTACTTAAGTTTATACAGTATAAATACTGTCACTGATTTGCTCTGTCATTTAAATACCTGTATTGCTATTGGCATCAGTTTGTTTTCTGGGTTCATGTAGAGTAAACAGAGACCAGCAGTCACATGCAGAGGTTCACCATTATAGGTTCTGGGGGTTATTCCATTCATCCTCTTCTGGTCATAGAGGAATATGTTGCCTTTCTATATGGGGGGGGGAAGACAGAAAAGAAGGACTGTGACATCAAGAGGTATCACAGATTTGTAGTAAATCGTGGCAATATGATTCAGGGACTTTCCATTGTGACATATGTACACTCTTAAACTCACAAGTCTTCCCAAAGCAAAGATCAGGAGCCATTTAAAGCCACTGTTCCTTCATACCTCCATTTCCTTCTGCAGAGAGGTTCCCTTTGCCAGGAACGGCTTCACCATCTCCTCTGTGACTGGAAAGTTTGGGGGAAGCTCTGAGCAGTGCTTGATCACATTGGGGTTGACTCCGTTCAGAAACTGGGATCCATAAAAGTCGTCTTCCTTCCAGTGCTCTGTAACATACTCTGGAAGAACAGCAAATAGAAAATATAAATAAATGTTTTTCTTTGTTTGGTTTTGAATAAAAACATGATGATCATGGTCATTTAACTTAAAACAAGATTGGTTCGTTCCTGAAAGGTTTCGACTTTATACAACAACAGATTGTTTTATCCAACAGGAGCATCTGTATCTATTTGTTGGTATGAAACTATGACAGTGACATTGTTGTGATAATTTATGCTGGAGAACTGGAAAATGGGAAAACAATCTACCTGACATTGGCGTCTTTTTGCAGCAGAAGATTTTTTTCATGTCTTCAAAGTTTTTCCATTTTTCATTAGATCCAACCATCCCCTTCAACTTCAGTTCAAGACCGCTGAAGTAAGAAAGAGTTTAAAAAAATGGAGAACTCAATACAGGATTAACTATGTACTGATATTAAAGCTTCAAATTCACTTTTTGCCTCAAAACATGGAGAGTATGACTTAGTTGTAACCTGATTTTGTCCATCGTATATGTGTGTGTAGACTCACATTATCATTTTTGAATAATTTTGTTCAGATATCTTGGACTTAGAGTAACGAAAGTCAGGTGGGATCTCAGTTGGATCATCAAAATGGATGATTTGGGGTAGTCCGTCAGCCATAATCTTCCATCTGAAAAACCAAACAAAGTTGCAGGAAAGAATGTGAGACATTTTTCCAGATAAAC